TTTCTACTACTTTCCATTTGTATAAAACAAAAACAAATGGCATCTTCTATTGAAGTCGGAGGCTCGTGGTCAACGAATGAAGATATTGCGTTGTGTCAATCTTGGGTGAACATTAGTCATGACCCTATCACGGGTAATGAGATGAAGTTTCATCACATGTGGAGCAAAATTCATGGAGAATTTTGTCAAAGATCGGGTTCTATTCGGACCGAAATGGCGTTGTCTAGTAGATGGAAACTTCTTAATAAAGAGTTAGGGAAATGGAGAAATGCCTTGACAAAAGCAAATGCGAACATTCAAAGCGGTCAAAATTTAACCGATGAGGTAAAATATTTATAATTGCCATTTTAATCAATTCAATGTCACTTTTTTTTTTTTGCATATTCTATTTGTTTTTCTTGCATAATTTCTTTTTTCTTGGTGCACCTTTAATTTGTCTATATTTTCTTGCATAATCAATTTTATTTTTGCATTTCAAAATAGTTTATATTTTCTTGCATAATAATTTTTGTTTCTTGCACTTCCAATTATTTATTTTTAATAGATGGTACAAGCACAAATGTGGTTCGGTGCCATGGGGCAAGGCAAAAAAAGTTTCGTGCATTTCCAATGTTGGGAAATTGTGAAGGATTGTTCGAGATTCAAAATTATTCCCACCGGTCCGCCGGTTGTGATGAATGAGACGCCACTCCACGATTCAACATCAACCGATTCTCCATTGGACTCCCCAATGGAAACGGAGTCACCATTTGTGCCACGTCCGCCAAGACCTATTGGGAGAAAGGCGGCAAAGGCCAAGAGAGGGGCCACTTCGACCAATGATTGTGTACAATTATTGGAGCATATAGCTAAGAGCGCCTCACTAAGAATGGAGAGAGACTTGAAAAGAGATGAAATGGACAAGGCACGAGAGGAAGCATTTGTTCTCCAACAACAAATGGCACAAGAAAAAGACATAGAGGATAGAGAGATTAAAATCATGGCTATGGATACGAGCCATATGTCTCCCGAAACAAAGGCTTATTGGAAGCTACGACGAAGAGATGTGATGAGGAAAAAACTTTTCAATGACGACGGACCTAGCAATACGGATTGGTTAAATGATGAAAACCATTAGGAAGCAATTGAAACACCTTTGACATATGTTGTATTGTTGTATTATCCTTTAAGTTGTTGTATTGTTGTATTATCCTTTAAGTTGTTGTATTGTTGTATTATCCTTTAAGTTGTTGTATTGTTGTATTATCCTTTAATTTGTTGTATTGTTCCCTTATCCTTTAATTTGTTGTATTGTTCCCTTTTTATTCAATCAAAAAAGCATTAAATTAAATGACTATTTATTAAAAACATTTGAGCATCAAAACAAATATTAATTCAAAAAAACCTTCATTGATTGCAAACAACACACAAAACAAACCATACATAAAAGCATAATAATAAAAAGCCTAATTCCAAAAAAAAAACCACACACAAAATGAAGCATAATTAAAAACAAGGCATAATTCCAAACAAAGCACTAATCTTGACTTCATCCATTGTGATTGCCTTTCATCTCCCACAAGTGCTCGATCAAGTCACGTTGACGTATCTCGTGAACATATGAAGATTGCATTTCTTGATACCGATCAATCATGGGGTTGTTGAATTGACCATCCCGAAGTATGGGTTCGGGCTCCAGTGGTAGTCCATTTGGTCCAATCGGCCTTTCATATATTCTTGTCAACGATGTGTTCATTGGATCGGGTTCAAACACCTCTTGAGCATCATAGTCATACTCATCCTCCACAATCATGTTGTGAAGGATGATGCAAGTCATCGTAATACTCCGCAGCACCTCCTCATTTAGCATCCGAGCAGCACCTCTAATAATTGCCCAACGAGCTTGCAAGATACCGAAACACCTCTCCACGTCTTTCCTGTAACCTTCTTGAAAGGAAGCAAAGTTTCTTTCCTTCTCGGATTGGGGATTCGGAACTGTTTTCACGAATGTCGTCCACCTAGGATAAATTCCGTCGGAAAGGTAGTACGCACCAGAGTAAACGGTATTGTTGATTTGGTACGTGACCTGGGGGGAATGACCTCGCAGTACCTCATCGAACACTGGGGATTGACCAAGGACATTGAGGTCATTCTGAGAACCGGCAACCCCGAAGAAGGCATGCCAAACCCAACAATCGAATGAAGCTACGGCCTCCAAAATTATACTTTTTTGGCCCTTCCGATTCCCGTACTCCCCTTGCCAAGCAGTAGGACAGTTCTTCCACTGCCAGTGCATACAATCGATGCTTCCAATCATTCCTGGGAAACCTCGGGCCTCGCCTTTTTGTAGAAGCCGTTGCAGGTCTCTTGGCGTTGGTTTGCGAAGGTACTCCCTCGTGTACAAATTTTCCACTGCATCACAAAATCTCACCAAGCACTCTAGGACAGTAGATTTTCCCA